GAATATGACATGGCTCCTCATGACCTGAAGTTATGAGCTGAAAGACAAGTCTGCCTTACCTTGGCCTTGGGATAACCAAACATTTGGAGAAAGCAAAGTAATGGGTGGCACATCACAGACTTTTCTGTCCTTTCTTTCTTTCTTCCTATTTATTTATTTGAGATGGGGTCTCACTATGAAATTCAGTCTGGTTTTAAACTCACCGTGTAACTCAAACTGGTGTTGAATTCCCAGTGATCCCCCTGCCTCAGCCTCCTGGATCTAATGACCAGCCTGATTCACACCAGTTCCGGTAGGCAGGGATGGAACCCAGGGCTGTGCACATGCTAAGTGCTCTGCCACAAGCCTCCACACCCAGCCCTTCACAGCAGTTCTGAAATACTAGGCTGAAGTTACAGGACCTTCCTCCCTAGCAAGAGGGATTATCCTCCAGCCTGGCTTTGCTCTGTGGGAATATTGCAGCTGCTTGGTTTGTTGTTCATGGTGATCTTGGACTGGCCCTCTGGGAGGTCTTTATTTTGTTTAATTATTTTGCTTGACCACATTTGAAAAGGGGATTGAGACTACAACCTCCTTAGGGAATGAGGAGCACTCTCAGCCTGCTTCCTGTCTGAGGAATGTTGGGTGCTTTAGGTCTCAAATAGGCACAGTCGAGACCTTCATCCAGATCGGTAGCTGAGAAGCACAACTCTCTGAACATAATTGCCTTTTATATCTTCCATCCCCAACATCCTGTGTGCCAGTAGCTTTCCCACAATTTGAGACGTACATCTCTTTATAGACCAATGAGGAGATCCTTGCCCAGATCCCAGGCCAGGCCTCAGTGGGAAGGTTACTACTTCAGTCTTTTTTCCCTGCTTACAGTTGACCAACTGGCAGGATTTACTGAGCACATTTTAATCAATTAAGAGAGCTCCACAAAGAGCACAGTGGTCATATATTTGATTGGGTCTTTTCCCCAGGACTGAGTTGTAATCAGCTTTATCCCTCAAAACATTTTTTCAGTTTTGTCTTTTACCATTTGGATATGAGAAACAGTTGCATGTCTTAATCCTTTAAATCATGGAATTTCTGGGCTGGGGAGATACCTTGTTAGTCTAAGCACCTACTTGGCAAGTGCAAAGACTTGGGTATCATCCCCAGTATTGCATGCCATGCCAGCCCTGAAACCCTGGGTGCACTGTGCCAGCCATCGAAACTGGGCATGGTGGCACATGCCTGTAATCTCAGTGCTGGGTAGCCTGAGACAAGAGGATCACTATGAGTCTGAGCTGTGTAGCGAGGCCCTGTACCAAAAAATAGTAATAATAATATTTAAATAAATAAATGCTGGAAATTCTGAATTTTTTCTGATTGCTGCCTGCTTGCAAAATGACCAATTTTTGTTTCTTCTTTTTCTTTTTGAGACAGGATCTCACCTGCAGTTCAGACTTGCCTTGAGCTCACTTTGTAGCTCAGGCTGGTCTCAAGCTCACAACAATCTTTCTGCCTCAGTCTCCTGCATGCTAGGATTGCAGGTGTGCACCACCATGCCCAGCCCTTTTTTTTTTTTTTTTCTTTTCTTTTTGGGACAAGAGTTTTACTATGTTGCCCTGGCTAGTCTTTTTTGTTTGTTTTTGAGACAGGGTCTTGCTATGTGACCCCAGATGGCCTGGAACTCAGTGATTCTTGGGGGGGGGGGCGCTGGGGAGATGGCTCAGTGGAATAAGTGCTTTGCTGGAAAGTGCAAGGGCCTGAGTTCAATCCCTGGTTCCACCAAAAAAAAAAAAAAAAAAAAAAAAAAGGATTAGTGATCCTTGTGACTCAGCCTCCCAAGTGCTGAATTATAGGGCACACCACAGACCCCAGATTTTTGTTTTGTTTTTGTCCCAGGCTGATCTTAAACTCCTGTGTTCATTCAATCCTCCTGTCTCAGCTGCCTGAGTAGCTGGCACTGTAGGCACTTTCCATTATACCTGCTAAACTGGCCTGTTTTTCCTCCATCCCTAGCCCCTACCCATTCTTTGTCTTTTGTTTGGTTTGGTTTTGTTTAGACAAATTCTTGCTGCTAAGTCACTGAATTGCCCAGGTTGGGCTTGAATTTGCAATCCTTCTGCCTCAGCCTCTCAGAGGGCTGAAATTCCAGGTGCATACACCGCACCCAGATCCTGGGCTTCTTCCTGGTTTATGTGAGCTTCAGCAGGTAATTCAAATACACCCCCCATTCTCCTTGCTGAAAGGAGATTTGGTGTGCAGGTGTGCCTGTGTACATCCTATATATGTCAGGGCCACCAGATGGCACTTCCGCAACTGTGGCCATTTGCTCTTGGGGCCCCACCTGTCCCTTTACTGCTCTGCTTTTTCACTTCTCTGCATAACACAGCCGGATAGGCAGAGTCGGTGACTTTCCCTCTGTGGCTCAATGGCCTCCCCAGTCCTCAGCGTCCCTGTGTCTCCCATTGCTTTTAGGTGACTATGAGCTGGAGGTCTCCCCATACGAGGACACAGTGACCAGCAAGCCCTGGAAAATGCACCTCAGCAAACTGAACGTGCTCAGACCAGGTGCGGAGAGCCGGGCGGGTGGGTGAGGGCTGGGCTAGGGGCTTGGGGGAGACACTGAGGCCACTATGCCTCCCGGATCACCAAAAGCAACAGATGGGTGATCGCTTGAGTCAGCCCATTAGGATGCCTCCGTCCCTGCAGAGGGCCAGTAGGCATGGCAGCAGTCTCAGAAAAATGCACTGAAATGGAGTAGTAATGTGCAGTCAAGGCAGCCAGGAAAGTAGTTGTGTTGTTTTTTTTTTCCCTAAAGACTAGAAAATTGCTTGTTTTCAGCAGTTCTAATGGAATGGGTGAGGTGTTGGGCAGAGTAAATAGTGAGTGTAACAGGGTGGGGAGTAATCGGGCTGGCAAGAACTTTGATGCATGATTTTTTTGAAAGCAGGGCAGTGAGTTCATTGAGAAAGCAATACAGTTTTTTGAGAAATAGCCAAGTTTCATTGTATAGTCAGTTCCATATATTAGAATTAGAACTTTGAGAAAAAAACACAGATTTAATCCGGTGTGGTGGCACACACCTGTAATCCCAGCTCCTGGGAGGCTGAGGCAGGAAGATCCCAGAAAGTTCAAGTCCAACGTGGGCTAAATAGTGAGTTCGAGGCCAGTCTGCACTACAGTGTGAAACCCTGGCTCAAATAATAAAACAGATGAAGAAAAGGATGAGCCTTGTTCAGTCAGGCTTTACCAGGGCCCTTAAGAAGCCTGAGCTGCAGCTGTAGCAAGAGGTCGGGCCTGGTGACTTAGCAACCCTCTGCCCACAGACTCCGACGTCTGCCTCAAGTTCGCGATGCTGTGCACCCTCCACGACAAGTGTGACCGGCTGCGCAGGGCCTATGGCGAGGCGTGTTCGGGGACTCACTGCCAGCGCCACGTCTGCCTGCAGCAGCTGCGCGCCTTCTTCGCGAGGGCAGAGGAGCCGCACGTGCAGGGCCTGCTGCTGTGCCCGTGTGCGCCCACGGACCGCAGCTGCGGGGAGCGCAGGCGCAACACCATAGCGCCCGCCTGTGCGCTGCCTCCAGCGGCCCCCAACTGTCTGGACCTGCACAGCCTCTGTATGGGCGACCCGCTGTGCAGGTGCTCGGTGGGACCGCAGGGTGACGGGGTGGGCTCGCCACTCAGGACCACAACCTTCATGGTCTGGCTGTAACCCTTAGGGTTCTGTAAACCCACCAGCTATTTAGCCTTGGGTATTTTGGAAAATTAAAAAAAAAAAAAGATACATATTTTGGCCAGGCGTGGTGGCACTCACGTATAATTCCCACCTTTAATTCCAGCACTGTGGGTAGTTGAGGAAAGATCACAAATTCGAGGCCAACCTGGGCAGGTTAGCTATTTAGTAAGATCCTGCTCAGAATAGATAAAATAAAATAGGACTGGGGAAGTAGCTCAGTAAAAATTTCAGCCTGGCATGGTGATACATGCCTGTGATCCCAGCATGAGGGAGGCTGAGGCAGGAGGATTCCCACAAGTTCAAGGCTGTCATGGACTATATAGCTCCACTTCTATTTCTGTCTGCTCCTAAGAATAGCATGGAAATGGGAGCTTATCAGGATGAATTCACCAGCGAAGTCAGAGCTCTCCCACCCAGCTTCTCCCCAGAGTCCCTCAGGAACTAAGCCTTCAGCACGGAGTGGGGGCATTTTCGATCCCAGCTTCATTATGAAGCCAGATGGGCATGGACTTCAGTCCTGGGTCTGAGTCTGTGTGATGCTGAGCATATCAATGGACCTAAGGCTCCATTTAGTGATCCGCAAAAACTAGGATAATAGAGATCTCATGGGATTCTGGGCAGGATTAAATTACTTGTGTAGATTTTTTAGTTTACTAGGGCATAGTAAGTGCTCAATAAATGGTGATGCTTATTTTGTAATTTTATTAAGAATTTGATTTTCCCCCCCCTCAGGATAGTGGCACAGGCCTGTAATCCCAGCTACACCCTTGATGTATAGTTTATTTACTATTTTTTCTAGGACTGAGAACCAAACCTGGGGCCTCATACATTCTAGATATACGCTATACCATTGAGCTCTACCCTAACCCCAAGATGTTGTTGTTGTTGTTGTTGTTGTTGTTGTTGTTGTTCCTTAAGGCAGGGTCTTAGTATGTAGTTCAGGCTGGCCTTGTAACGAAATGCTGGCCTCAAATTTATGGTGATCATCCTGCCTCAGCTTCCTGAGTGCTGGGATAACAGGAGTGTACCGCCATCCCCAGCAATTCAGCTTTTTAAATGCCTGCATCATGTTCCACTGATGTATGCCTCACACTTCATTTAACCATTCTATGTTGGATATTTAGGTTGTTTTCTTTATTACTGTAGTGTTAAAATATGATAAATGTCACTCGTTCCTTTTCATTTTTCTTTTTCCAGTACTGAGGATTGGCCTCAAAGAATGCCTTGCCATTTATTTATTTAATTTGTTATTTTTTGTCTTTTTTTGTGTGTGTGTGCTAGAGATGGAACCCAGAGTTTTGTGCATGCTAGGCAAGTGCTCTACTAAGCTATATTCCCAGCTATTTTATATTCTTTTGAGATAGGGTCTTTCTAGGTGGTCCAGCTGGCCTTGAACTCACTATGTAGTCAAGGCTGGCCTCAAATCTACAGCAATCCTTCTTCCTCAGCCCCCTGAGTAATGGGATTACAGGTGTGCACCACCACGTGGAGTCTCCTCTAGGAGTCTCCTCTAAGGGATTGTGGAGCCCAGGTTCAGAGTGATGTGTGTGGGACTGTGGTGATAGCACATTTGATTGTGATGAGTGGCTTCACGGAGGAGGCCACCTGGGCCAGGTGCTGAAGGCCAGGGAGGTATTGGTATGAAAGTGGCAGCAAGGGTGACGGCTGCAGGCCACATCTCCATTGTGGACTCTTGAAATTTCTGTTCTTCTAGATCCCGCCTGGCAGATTTCCAGACCCACTGCCACCCCAGGGACATCCTGGGGACTTGCGCAACAGAGCAGTTCCGATGTCTGCGCGCATACTTGGGGCTGATAGGTAAAGCTTCATGCAGAGGGCAAAGGAGGAGAACATCGTGGGATGGGGGGGCTGAAGTCCCACAACGGCAGGAACAGGTGTGGAGCCTGACAGCCCCTTCCCGTCTCCATCCACAGGCACTGCCATGACCCCCAACTTTGTCAGCAGTGTCAACACGAGTGTGGCCTTGAGCTGCACCTGCAGAGGCAGCGGCAACCTGCAGGAAGAGTGTGAGCAGCTGCAGAAGTCCTTCTCGAGCAACCCCTGCCTCGGTGAGTGTGCCTCCTGCCGGTGGGGGCCACCCACCTCTTCCTCTGCATACTTCGGCCCTCATCTTGGCCCCTGCCGCTATCTTCCTGGTCCAGGGCAGTTCGGGCCTTTGGCTCCCCAAGAGGCCCCCAGGCTGCCTGTTCAACTTTCCTGCGCTCAGGGACAGCTCCTCTCCCAATTTGCGCCTGCCTGCCTTCTCCTCTACACCACTCCCCCAAGCAGACCTCTGTTCCTGTCCTGGGAAGCTTAGATCTCCCAACCAGCAGCTGTGGTAGGCCATGCCTGTGACCTGGTCTCACAGGAGGCTGAGGCAAGAGGATCATTGCAAAGTTCAAGGCCAGCCTGGGCTACAGAATGAAACACTGTATCAAAAAAAAGGGGAAGAAAAATCTATTACCACCCTATTACCACCGTACCCTTCTAATCTGTCTTCTATCATCTGTTCAGTGGAGGCCATTGCAGCTAAGATGCGTGTCCACCAGCAACTGTTCTTCTCAGACGCAGTACCTGTCTTTCCTGTAGTGGAACACCAGGTAGCACCTCCTGTTACTAAACCAGTTGGGAAAACCCCAATTGAGCAGCCAAGGGGTGGGGACAGGTGGGGGAGTCTCGTTTCCACAAATACTAGAAATGACTAAATAATTCAGGAATACCTCAGGGGAAGGGGCCAGTCTTGCCTGAGGCTGAGGTGTTAGAGAGCAGAGATGGTTTCCTAACCTGACTCTGTTTCTTCCACAGAATAAAAACCCTGCTCTGAGGCCGCAGCCCTGGGTGCCCTTTCTGTCCTCCTGCACACTTCCCTTGATTCTTTGTCGTGGCCTCTGGTAGCTGGACCTCCATGGGGGCCTTTTTCCCTCTGTAGCAGCCAACCTGGCTTGCAGCCTTCAAGGAGTGCAGTGAGGACAGCATCCCGAAGGAGGCACATGAGCAACATGACTACCTTCACCCCGCCTGGCTCTCTGTCCTGCGCATCTGCTCAGCTCCAGATGAGGCCATGGTAGCAGCCATGGCCTGGGCCCCCCAGAGCTAGACCGGTTGGTTTTCCTTCCCTCCACCCTTACCCTGCTTCAGATTCAGTCTTCTCCTTCTTAAGACTTGGGGGCCACCATTTAAACATTTCTTCTGAGGGTAACCACTCTGCCAAGGTCTCTCCTGATGCCTCCCTCCTGCCTACCAGGGTCGCCCAAGTCTAACACATGAGTCAGTCTCTGGAGCAGTGTCTAGGCTGGCAGAGCTGGGAGCTAGAAGGCAGCCAACCAAGGCCTTCCCTTGTGCCCCTGTGCCCTCCTGTGAACGGAGAGTGGGAATCCACTGCCTGCACTTCTCTGCCTGGGACCTGGAGGTCATTTGGGCATCAGGAGCAGTCTTTGGGCCTTGCTTTCTTTCTACTTTTGTCTCATATCTGCCCTGAGTTCTTGGATTGTAATTAAACATTTTGACCTAAGGCTCTGCTCTTTTCCCATTTTCTCAGATTGTGAATTTCTTGGATTGTGAATTGCAGGATTAAGGGTGTTACAAACACAAGGACAGAGGTCAGGTAATAGACATAGCTGTCATGGTTTGGGGCTTTGCAAGAACAATATAATGCAGGACACATTTTATAAGGAATCACCCAAGAATATACAACAAGAGTAGGAAATCTATCCACATGCTAAATACAAAAGAATACAGCTGAGGGCCTGGGTCCTAATAGCCTGCATGAGTGCAGCTGAAAACCTAGAGCTCATAATGCTGCCTCCCACAAGTCCAACTGGAGGCCTAGAGCCCACAACAAAGTCTCATGCAGGTCTGCTTCACAAATCTGTGCTGGAAAGGCCCAAAGGTGGAAGCTAGAGATTCTATGCCAATGGGATGAAGGATCTGTGCTAGCAGGCTGAGGGATCTGAGCTGGAGCCAGGAAGCAATGCTCAGGGTAAGCACCAGAGCTCCCCCAAAAGTACCACAGCCGCCATCAGCACCAGTGAGGTCCCAACCTCCTCCATCAATAAGGAAAGATGAGTTCCCATCAGGAAAGCCAATGCAACAAGCTTCTTCATGAGGCTGAGCAGTGTAGCATCTTCCCCTCCAGAGCTGGGAAGCGATGCTCAAGATGAGGACCAGAGCTCCTCCAAAGTTCATCAGGAAAGCCAACATGACAAGGTCCTCCAGCAGAACAGCCCAAGAGAACCAGCAGCTTCCAACAGCTCCAACTGCTTCTCCAAACAGCATCCCTAACAGCATTCCAAAAGCAGCATCTGTTCTGCCTTTTATGCTACTGGCAACAGCCTTCAGGTGGGCCCCCCACACCCAGCACCACACTAGTTTAATTCAGCTGGGTGTAATAACTTGACCACCAGTTAGAAATCCACTATAGTACCCTACTACCAGCTGCTCTGCAAAAGCCTCTCCACCTTGTGTGTTTCCTGTGGATTTGGATAGAGGATTACATCAGTGGGCCACAGACCTGGTATCTATCCAGCTCACGCCATTTCTTGGATGCTGCCTGGGATCTGCCAAGGCATCGAGGGGGGCCCTTCATCAACCACAGCATTAACTGAGCATCTGCTCATGTTATAGATCTGCTGCAGATCATGATGGGGGCCAGGGGAAAGCAGAGACTGGTCCTCAATTTCAGGAAATTTGGAATCCTATTAGAATAATGAGAACACCCATCCACACAAAGTACTTGGAAGAACACACTTATAGATGCTAGGTGTGCTGTCATATATCTTCAATCCCAGTTTTTTGGGAGGCTGAGGCAGGAGAATTGCAAGTTTCAGGCCAGCTGAGACAACAAGACCCTGTGTCAAAGTTTTTAAAAAGGTGGGAAGTCTGGGTGTATGGTGTATGCCTATAATCTCAGCACTGGGGAGGCTGAGGCAGGAGAATTGCTACAGATTCAAGGGGAACCTGGCTGCATACTGAGTTCAACACCAGCTTGGACTACAAAGCAAGATCCTATCTTAATAAAATTAAAATAAAATAAAATAGAATGGAATATAGCCCAGTGCTAGAGCCTGTTCCTAGCATGAGTTAGGCCCTAGATTAAAAAAAAAAAACCTTAAAAAAAAAAAGAATCCGTATGTAGAATTGTGGATATTTGTCTATTATTAATTCATTCTATCAGTGAGCATCTGAAAAGTGCTGGATGTTGAAGGTTTTGAGGTTATAAGACTGATCCTAGCCTCAAATCTTTCATACCTCAGTGGAGGGAGACAGACAAGACAGTCAATAAAAGCAGTACCATGTGATAATGCTTCACAGTAATTGTAAGAACACCCCTCATTTGTTTAGCCTCTGTATGTGGAATGCTTGCGTCTGTTCTTTGCCAGGCACACTCATTTATCTTCCAGTAACACTTGATCATCAGTCAGGAGCTATGAAACCTTGGGTTTAACCTCTCTGAATTTCAATATTCACATGTGTGATATGAAAAAACACACAGGGGACCGGGGAGATGGCTCAGTAGAGTAAGCGCTTGCCTGACAAGTGTGGGGGCCTGAGTTCAATCCCTAGTTCCACAAAAAGAAAAAAAAAAAAAAGAAAAAAAACCACACAGGACCCACCTCGGCAGGGTGCCAGGAACCATGTAAAAACATTGTAAGGCTCAAAAAACCAAGCAGTAATGGTCTATCACTTTCTTTCTTTTTTCTTTTTGTATTTTAGGGGAAGGATCTACAGGGTATTCAGGGTCTTACTACTAGATCTGACTCATAGTGATCCGCCTGTGTTCAGCCTCCCAAGCACTGGGATTATAGGCGCATGCCCACATGCCCACTTTCAATTGCCATCTCAGTGAGCCCCTGGAGCAGGGCCAGTATAGCAGGCCTGGGGATCAAACCCCTGGCCCCTGAGCCTGCTAGCAGGCGCTTTAATACACTGAGCTATTTGGCTGACCCTATCACTTTCATAGAGAATTTGGATAGCATAATCCTCGAGAAGTGAGCAAAAACATTAAAATCCCAATCCCATTCTGAGAATCTTTTGGTATATTTAAATTTACACAAGTGGGGTGTTAGATTTTCATCACTGACAAAATACCTGATGTAATCTGAATGAAGGAAATTTTGCTATCTTTTTGAGACAAGGTCTGGCTACATAGTTCAGGCTGCCCTTGAACTCCCAGTGATCCTCCTGCCTCAGCCTGCTGAGTGCTGGGATTACAGGTATGTATCACCATGCCCAGCAAAGAGGAAAGAATTAATTGGGCTCATGTTTTTAAAGGTTTTGGTCTGTGGTCAGCTGGTTCTGTTCCTGGGGACTGAGCCTGAGGCCCTGTATGTGGAGGGAGGGTGTGGTGGAGCAACAGTGCACCCCTTATGTAAACTGGAAAGCAGAGAACGACAGCTAGACAGGAAAGGGGGGGAATCACATATGCGCTGCAAGTCGAGCTCCTGTGGCCTGCTTCACTCAGCCAAGTTCTGCATTCTAACAAGTACACTGAGCTAGGAACTCATGGATGAGGAATCCACTGATGAAGTCAGAGCCTTTGTGACTGTACCACTTCCCAGAGCCACCTCTGAGCACCGCCCAATTATCTTTCTGGTACCCAGGACACAATACCATACTCTGGGTAAATTCTGGAAAAAAAAGAGTGAAGGGCCGGCCTGATAGCTCAGCGGACTAAAGCTGCCTGTTTAGGCAGAGCACAGCAGCCAGTGTTCAATCCCTGGCATGCAATGCTGGCCCTGCCCCAGGGGTGTGCAGAGAAGGCGATTGAGATTGGGTGTGGTGGTGTGTGACTATAATCCCAGTGCTTGGGAGGCTGAAACAGGAAGATCACTACAAGTCTGGTCTACGTAGTGATACCCTGTAGACCCTCTACTAAATACAAAAAAGAAATAAAAATTAAGAAAAAAAATCTGTAACAAGGCTTTGTCTTTTTAAAAAATTGGTTCTTGTTTGTTTTTGAGATAGGGTTTCACTATATAGTGCAGGCTGGCCTTGAACTCACTTATATAGCCGACACTGACCTTGAACTCAGCGGTGCTCCTCCTGCCTCAGTCTCCCAATGCTGGGATTGCAGAGGTGCTCCACCACACCTTCCTCAAAAAAAGAAAAGGAAAGAAAAGAGGTTTGTGTTGCTACCTTGGCTCGTGATTCTGATCTAAGACTGAAAGGCTGCACTGGGTGATGCTCTTCTTGTTGGCACTGTCCCAGGGTAGAGCAAAGTCATCATATAGTGAAAGGAAGCAAGAGTACATGTGTTTACGTGAGGAAGCTACCAAGATTCAGTCATAGGGCTGCACCTTGATGACCTCATCTAGTCACAATGGCCTCCCCAAACCATAAACTGTGTTTTGTTTTTTTTTTTTTTTTTTTGAGACAGGGTCCTGCTATGCAGTCGAGGCTGGTCTCCAACTTACTGCGTTGCCCAGGCTGGCCTAGTATTTACAGTGATCCTCCTGCTTCAGCCTCTGAATGCTGAAATTGCAGGTGTATATCACCATGCTGGAAAAACTGCTTCCTGTTTTCTTTCCTTTCTTCCTCTCTCCTTTTTTTTTTTTTGGTGGCTGGGTCTTGCTCTGTAATTCAGGGTGGTCTTGAATTCACCACAATCCCCCCTGCCTGGGGGGATTACAAAAGTGTGCTACCACACCTGGCAAAGGCCAAACTTGTAAACACCAAAGTGCAATTAAATTTTCAGTCTTAAAAAAACTCCCACTAGGGATTAACCCCTAACCTGAGTCTCCCCAGAGACAAACCATATTTCCTCTGAGCCTGGTTGAAGGCAATTAGGGAAGCGACCCAGAACCTGTGGGAGTGGCAGGTGGGGCAGACCCACCTCCACTATAGGTCTGTGTCTTTGTTGTTGTTGCACCCAGCCCCAGCCTCCCCAAAGCTCCAGGGGACCCTGGGTCCACTTCCTTCCTCTCCTCCCAGGAAGACCTGAGCAGTCAAGGGCTCTGCCTTGGCCTTGGCTCCATTAGCCTGGGGCTGGGGTGTTAAGGGTACAGTCATCCTTGCTAAGTGCTTGAATTAAACTAATAGTCTTTTGCGTTGGCTTGGGAGAAGGTCCAAATTCCTGGTAAGCAGCCAGACCAGGCTCCCAGCCCAGGCCCCGAGCCAAGATCAGGGTGCAGGGCAGTGGCTGGGCTATGGCTGTTAACAGTCTCCCTCTGGCTGGGATGGTGAGTGCTGCGGGACCAACTTCTGGGGAACTAGGCAGGACGGGCCCACAGCACCCTGAAGACTGTACAATGACAGTCAGATGGAGCAGACTGCTTTATTTATTTATTTATTTATTTTGTATTTTTAGGGAAGGGTCTACAGAGTGTTCAGGATCTCACTACTAGATCGGACTCATAGTGATCCACCTGTTTACAGCCTCCCAAGAGCTAGGATTACAGGGGCAGGCACCACCACGCCCAGTCTCAATTGCCTCTCATTGTGCCCCCATGGCATTTTAATACACTGAGCATGGTCGGCCTAAGACTGCTTTTTGAATAATCTCCA